CCGCCCCGCTCCGCTCCGCTCCGGCGGGCAGAGGCGCTTGGCGGCCGAAGCGCGGGGCCGGCGGTGGCGCCCGGGAAGGCGCGCTGTGACCTTGGGCGACGCCGAAGCGCAGCCTGGGCTGATGCTGGGGTGCGCTTCGGGCTTCGTAGCGCTGCGCCCGTCGGGGATCCCGGTCCTGATGGGCATCGCTCTTCCCGGCTACTTAAAAGAAAAAAACAAAAACAAAAAAACCAAAACAGCCATCGGAGAGTGTTACGTTTGCTTCCCAAAGCGTCGACTGGAGACCAAATTTAAATTCCTTTTATATAACGAGTTTTCTGTTAACCGCCCACTACAGTCAGTTTACTTAATTTTTTTTTTTTTTTTTGCTAAAAGTATGTAGGGAATTCTAGGATCTTTCAAAACTGCTACCTGGAAAAAGCATCTTTTATTAAAATAACTTGCAGCAAATTAAGGCAGTTATTATGAAAGAATTATTTTCTTATCCAAAGGGAGAAAAACGTTTATGCATGTGCTGTGTTTTTTTCTCTTAATGGGTTTTCACATCAGTTAAAAATAGAAGTAATTAACTGAAAAGCACTAAAAAGCAAAACAAACAAAAAAAGAACATGTTTAGAATGTTTGACAGAACGTGGTTCTCTAGATTATGTGGTATGACCAGCGTCGGGTAAACTAAGCACGAGCTTTGGAACTGGCTCATCTTTGTGCCCACTTGCATCTCTGCAGGACTAGAGCTGTAGATGTTTGGACCAAATCCCCACCACTGCATAGCTATCCACCATGAGTCTTTATCAAGATGAAAACTTCTGGTACTTGGTGTCTTCCAGTATTGTTCAGAGGTTAGGAAGAAGGTGGCCCCTAACTTTAGATCTTACTGAGTTCTGGTATGATTTTCTTGCAATGGAAGAACATGCTCCTGACAACAGTCCTTCATCTGCTTTGTCTGGACAACAGCTGAGAAACTGCGTGTTGTATGTGGATGTTTCTGTGCAAAATTAGATTCTGTGCTAAACCAGTTGGGTAGTTTGTGATGCACTGTCTAAGCTGCACAGAAGCAACATTTTTATTGTTAAAGATTATTTTGTAGCCAAAAGCACTGTGTGTATATCCCATAAAAGAGGCTTTGAAATGTTTCTTTTGGTTTTTATCTTCCATCTAGCACAGCAAGTATATTAAAACCACACTAAAACATGCATGCTCCCTTTCAGCCTGTCTTTCGCAAAGCATAGGGTAGTATTGCTTTAGTTAACTTTGAGCAAAGGCCAGAAAATAATATAGTCTACCTGTGCCTATCTAAAAGCAGAGGTGAAAAAAGCAGTGTGATAATTAGATATCCTCTCTCTGACCTCTGCTCGTCTTCATCTAACTCATGCTGGTTGTATGTTATGTGTCTCCAAGATCACGAAGAGCTAATGTGCAGCTGTAATCAGACAGTAAGCACTTAATTTGCAAACTTTTTTTGTTGTAGTGCAAGGAATGCAGGTATCAAGTACTTGCTTTCTGTAATAAATACAACCTTAGAATAGCTCCCCACCCTTTTTGACATGGAAATAACCATCAGAGAGATGTATTACATATAGTGTGCTAGTGCTGTTATTACTGTATAGCTCTGTCTCAGGTTTACTTCAGACTTCCCCGTTGAGTAAAGGCTTTTGAAATACGTAGCAGAACTTTCGGTGTTGTTGGAGTTGAGATGGTGCGTAGCGTACCTGGCTTCTTGGAGGCCGTGGGAATTGGATCAGTGTCTTACACTTTTGGTCCTGTGTAGAAGATAATCCCTGAAATCCTAGAATAGCTTTAAGATACGCAGGTTCTTAGGAAATAAGAGTACTTTTATTTATTAAGTTAATAATTAAACTGTGTTTGTAAAGAGAAAAGTGTTTAGATTGGTTGACTGGGGTATTTTTAATTAAAAAGTTGTTAAGTTTTATTTTGGAGACTTAATAAAATAACTGCCAATAACAGACTATGTTTAATTTTCCCCTGCCTTTCTGGCTAAAGTGATAGTGTGCGCTTCTTCAATGGCCTGGAAAGGCTTCAGAAAGGGGTCCTAAATAATTAAACAGGAAGCAATATAACACAAGTCTTCGTAGTCTAGAAGCACATTTAGATGGTGAAGAGTTATGAGGAGAACCTGAGTAGATGTTGCAGAGAAAGAACTGAGAAATCTAGGAAGGTAACTAGGGGTGAAAGCAGTCTGCCGTGCAGTAGCTTGAGCTGACTGCATGGCAATTCCTTTTTATAAAAAGTTTTCTTTTAACAGTGGTAAAATGGGCTGTGTCTAGGGCTTACAGGGATCACACTTTTCTCCATCTTCAACGCCACTGCCAGCTTTAACCAGCCTTGCTTCTACCCGAACAGAAATTTGTTGAGACGCAGTCCTCTGTGCTGCTTAGCAGGTAGGAAGGGATGCGAACGGCTGCTGTTGTGCATTAGCTGCTCCTTCAGCCTTTGGCGGGCCTTAATGTTGTTAATTGGCTAGGCAGTGTGTATCTCTCTTCTTTTGATAAGGATAATGAGGATGAGTTCTGCTGTGTGTGGGATCAAAATAATGCTTGTTGGTTATACTTTGGCTTCGTATAAACTGAAATTAGAAATCTGCAGCTCTGCAGAGCCATCTGTGCCTTTTTGTTGTCCTTCTGTAGACTTTCTAGGAGAAAGTGGACTTTTTAAAAATCTTCTGTTAGAAAAGCTGTGCTGAAGAGTAAAATTTTGTAGATTGGATGAAGCATATCTGTTTTGGTCTCAGTTTTGCTAATTCCGTAGCTTTTAAAGTAAACTTCATTTTTGAAGAGACTGTTCTGACAACAGTTCAACTGTTTCATTTTAGTTTTCTCCCATCTGTCCTTCTTAATTAGAAGTTACAGCGGCCCTGAAACCGAAGGACAGCTTTTGAATTCCTTCGTCCAGTATTTTGGTGACAGCCTCGGGAGGAAGATTAAAAGAATGCCTTTAATTGAAGAAACTGTTCTGCCTGGAGACTCACTCCTTACTCTGCCTGTAGTAATAATAGGTGAGTTTTTTCACTTTTAAGATTCTCTGTCACTGCCATTGCCTTTATAGACCTTGCTGCATGAAGTCATTTATCGTTAAATAACAAACGCTTAGCATCCTTACAGTGAAGATGTTTATCAGAGTAACACAGTTGTTATGATTAACAACAGTACCATAAAATTATGTTAAGGAACTTGCTATTGGAGTATATTTTAATTCAAATTGTGCTTTGACAAAATGAGCCACATGATTTGGCAGCAGATAAGTGAGTCTTAACGGAAGAACTGTTTTGATTCTAGTCTTGATCACATAGGGTTTGATTAATGTGATAGGTCTACATCAGGTTGCATGGAGGTTGTTGATGGTGCGCCAGTATAAGTTTGTGGGGTCAGATGGAACAGTGAAAAGCATCATGTAAAATGTCTGCTGTATGTTGGTTAGATGCTAACCTCTCTCATTAATTGCCTTTTTCTTTGTTGCATCCATCACTAACATCCGAATATTGTCCCATCTTTCCCGAATTGAATCCAAGTCAGTTCAACCAGTTTAAAACAATAAACTGTAGTCTTAATTAAATAGTTAAATACTTGTGCTTGCTGAATGACAGGATAGCAGAGGGAGCAGGCTCCTTAGGTACAGAGCTTAATTGGGAGTGCTAGGATGATTTGTATTGGGCCAAGGTTTTTCAGCAACAGCTGCTCACCAGCTCCTTACTGCCATGACTTGATGAAGGGATAAAGAAAAGATCTGGAGTAAAGGAGGTTTTCAGTAATCTAGTCCAAAGCTGTTGGGACTACAGCAAACCAACAGCTTTAACTGTACCTGCAAACAAGCAGAGATTCCAGAGAATCATGTTTCAACGTCATGTGCTTGCAGTAAATCTCCACAACTTTGAAAGATTGGTGTTTTTACAGCGCCTGTTCTCAAAGCTCTCTTCATGATAGCTTAAAATAGTGCTCATGTAATAGACTTACGTGGATGTGACAGACGTGAATCACTTGCTGAGTTCTGCATCATAGTTGAAGAGCAACAGTTTCTTGGCATTTTGTCAACCTTAGTATAGGTTTGCCATATGGTTAATGACTCAGTTTTCACTGTTTAGTTTTTCAGATATGCATTATGCAAATACCTGTGCTCAATACTTATTTTGTCTAGAGCGCCTTTCTATGTGCTGACACCAAACACAGCTGCCTTGACTATTTCTCCATGAAAAACAAATACATAGACCAAATGCTTTTTCACAGACATGTTTGAGACACTTCACAAGCTGATCTTCTCCATTGGCAGCCTATTATCAGTAATTAATTGGCTGTCTGAAGAGCTTTAAAAGGGATCTAAAATGATTTAATAATGTAGTAGAAGAATACAAAAAGAGCTGTCATCCCCCCCATAAACACGCACTGTCTACTGGTTTAATCTTCTCTGTGTGATTCCTGTACAGCTGGAGTTAAACATACTTTTAGCTTCCTAGTGCCGCCATCTTCTCCTTGCACTGTTTTATTAATCAAAAAGAAAAAGATGGCACATGTATAAGCAGTTAACTTAATGATGGAGGAATAACTTATATTCCCCTTTTTTTAACTTCACCATCCCCTTTTTCCTTGTATGATGCCCAATTTAAGATTTGATTCTAAGCTTGTGCTGCATATTGTACTGCAGTTCTGCATAGAGTACTAAGCTACTGTGGTAATATTAAGTAACTTCTGTGCTGTACAAGTCTTCAAGAAATTCGGAAGAAATGGATACATTCCGTTTGAATGAGTTGGGACTGAAGAATTTCACGCTGGAGCTTTTAAGTCTACAGTATGTTCTGTGCTAAACACTTTCACCTTCTGCACTAGTTTTGATCATTACTGTGTAAACACAGTTTTAAATTTTCATCCAAATAACGTGTCTGTTACGATGTTTGAAGTTGATTATTTGCTTTAAATTTAGACACATAATGTAAAAATGATCATATTGTAGTTTACTGTTGATTAGGAGAAGCTTCTGCTGGTATTCAAACAAAATATTAACTGTTCCTTAAATGAACAGGGCCATGGGGTTTTGGGGTATATTGATTGTATATCTAAAGTTTATATAATAGTAGTATCTCTCAGTTGCGATCTGAGCTGTTGTTGGAGGTATTGTGTGTAAATAAAGAGCAAACTCCTCTGGTATAAATTTCTCATTTAAAAAAGTTTTTGTTTGTTTGTTTTTTTCCCCAAGGATTTTCTGAGAAAATCATAGCAAGTCTAATTGCAGACCTTGCAGCTGAATCTTCATCTTGTGTGTTCTTGAGAGCATATCTACAAGGGAATTTCTTTCCCTTGGACTCAATCTGCTCAAAGAATAGGAGCTGGGTTTGGATCGGCTTTCTGGATGGTCCCCGGGGAGTGGCTAGGGAGCTCAGTGACAGTAATTCACCTTAACATAATCCCATCCTCAGTAATTTCCTTGGCCCTTGCCAGTCTTTGTTTTGCAACTTTTGTTATCCATTTGGTTTTTTTTAGTCTTGCACAGTAGGAATAATCTTTAGCATGGTGCCCTTGGATATGGCACGTATTTTCCTCTTTCCATTGTGGATTAGCTTCCCTTACAACCTACTAGGAAAAAAACCTAGCTGTGCACTTGTAAAAAAACATATTTCTTTATTGTGCACAAGATGTAATTCTGAAACCAGGTAAGAATTTACTCAGTCATGGCAATGCTCATGAACTATTGGTATAATCAGAATGTTTTCACAACTTCATATGATGTTGTTATGGATGGTTTCACCGTATTGCTGAGGTTCTCTCTTGCATCCATCTTATGTGGCAAGTGGGTGACAGGAGGGGGGCTTGAATGTGTTTTAAGCTTTAAATTCCTGGACTGAAGCATACCCAGCTATCTCATGCTGATCTAGTTGTGGGAGGGTAGAACAGTGTGAGAGTAAGGAAGAGCATTTTTACTGTCTGAAAGATTCTTTATGGTCTTTTTTGTAAATGGCAAAATAGGAATCAAAGTGGTTTGGGAAATAATATAGGAAGGATCACCAATATTTAAACCTTTTATTACAGACTTTTGATTTAACTGTCTTGAAGATCCCAGTGATGGAAATCCATGGCTTTCCTAGACAGTCTTCTTCCAGTGCTTTGTGGTCCTTACAGTACACAGGCACTCTAATGCCTTTATTTTTGCCTCCATATTAGGGTGTAAAAACTAAATTGTTTGGTAGGAGCCATTGTGCGTCTCACATACTTATTTGGGTTCTAGGCCTTCAGAGAAAACATGCTTATTGAAGATTTCTTATAACTTAGCAATCTCAGCCTTTGAAGAACTCATCTGTAGTGAGCCTAAATGATTTTCTCATAGCCCATGGCTGTGACTGGTCTACGCGCAGAGTGTTGTAATAAAGTATGGGATATACTGCCACTGGGGACCAGAGTGATGAGTGTAGCCTGGTGGAGGAGGAAGAAGAGATCCAGTGTATGAAGAGACCAGGAATGAACAGGGTCTCAGCAAACTGATGGGGGATTTAGAGACTGGGAAATCAGAAAAGGGAGAAGAGACAGGCATTGGAGAAATGGGATTCTTAACAGGTGATGGAAATAGTGTCTGCAAAGGTGATGGGGAACAGGAAACGGGTAAACTCTTGAGAAGGAGAGTTGAAAAGGTAGGAAGTAAGAGCTAACATCCTAACAAGTGCTATATAAAAGCATGAATAAATTAGTAACTTTAGCTTGGGATTTGAATAGTGTCTGGTAAATACCATGTGTGCCACTCTAGATGAAAACAAAGACAAAATACTGAATACTGCCTCATTAGGAGAACACTGTGCTTTTCATTCAGTTAATGAGGAAGAGGAGCTATAGGAATAACAGTACATAGTAACGTGTTTAAATTCTGTATCATACCACATACTTTTCTGACTTTAGCCTTCCCTAGCTTTTGATATCTGACTTTACAACATGAACATTACTTCTTTATTTGCATGTTATAAATATGGTCCCCTACTTTATTTAATACTAGTCAAATAAATAGAAATAATTACCATACGGTAATGTTTTGGTCCCATCAATTTCACATCTTTAATAACATTTTGAAAATAAGTTAGTATATTAAAATTGCAATAATGCACATGTATGAATTATAAAATGCTACAGAAAGGATATAGAAAGATGTTTGAATTGATATTGTTGCTGAAGGATGAATGTGGTCTTATATGAGTTTCTTGTACTTCACTTATCTACTGTATCTGTCTTCACTCAGCTTCACTTTTACATTGCTATTGTGCTGTGTCTGTAACTTCTCATCTGACTTGCAGTCTTCAGCTTTCTGCTTGCCTCTTTCTTCCTTTCATTTTATGGGCAGACCTGAAGAGCATATGCTCTAGATAGTCTTTCTGTTCTGTGTTTTACAGTACCCAGTGTAAATGGGAACGCAAAGTTGTAAGATGGCAATAATGTTCGGGTATCACTTTGATTGACAGACAGACCAGATCTTACCCATTGGGCCATTTTCACACAAGAACAGTGAATTTGACATACTAAATTATGAAACTCCTTTATATCCATTTTGTTTCATGGTAAAAACAGTCATACATAAGTTCCTTGTTATCTGAAAAAGGTTTTGCTCAGTTTATTTGGAAGAAGTTCCTATGGTAGGCTTTATTTTACTGTGAAGTTTATAAGGTGCTTTGAATCAGGACAGTATGTCATTATACTACTTCAGTATGATTTTGTTGCTGCTTATTTAGTGACTTACAAACTTTAGGTTATTGACATTTTTACTGAAGCAGTAACTTCTTTCTTTAATAGGAAATGGACCTTCGGGAATTTGTCTTTCTTATCTGCTCTCTGGATACAGGCCATATTTATCTCCTGAAGCTATACACCCAAACCCCGTTCTACATACAAAATTAGAAGAAGCTCGACATCTTTCCATTGTTGATCAAGTAAGCTTTGTTTGCCATCTTGTCTAGCTCTTTTCCTACTGCAAGCTGGATTATGAAACCGTAGGCTTTCTTTAATAATCCTGTGTAAATGCTTTTGCAACTTACATAAGTAGTGCCACAGACAAGAAAAGGCTTAATATTCTCACCCCACAAAGAATTAGACCCCAGTAAAGCTCAGTAACTGTGTGGCCTCAAACAACTAGTTTTATCTCTCGGGCTCTCTTTTTTCTATCTGTAAAATAAAGAACAGTATATACCTTCTTCAGTGGCTTGTTACAAATTATATGTAGGGCACTTCAGATGAAAAGCAATGCATTTTAAGAACTACTTATCCAAAAAAATTCTGCAGATTGCATTGTGAAGAACCAGCCTACTTACCTAATGTTATTTCTAAGGCATTAATAAATTATTTTGTTATTCTGTTAATTTAAATAGAATCAGCTTGTGACCATTAGATCCAATCCTGGGGCATGTGGTGGTTTTTGTGGTTCTTGAGGGCTCTTTGTTTGTGGTGTTTTTGGTTTTACAATCTGCCCTTTGTTGTGTTCTTACTACTTGCCTAAAGTGTCTAAAGCACCACTTGGTCAGTGAGTAGCTGATGCAGGAATTCCAGCTTTCATGTCCTAGTATGTTTGTGTGCTATCATCAAAGAACACATGCTGCTAACATACTTCAAGTACACATACTTCAAGTTAAAATGTTACTAAATAGTACAATTCTGATTAAGGCTTCATTTTTAGTAACATTAGGGACATACATCCTCTGTAAACACAACCCGTTTTTCTTTCCTGAGCAGTATGCATCCTTCAGTGTTTGCGTTGCACTCACAATTGCTCTTGTGCTGTATCTGTTATCCTCGTATACATACAATTTTTCTGATTTAATTAGTTAAATTTTCTCCATTTTTCTCCACACTTGTCCATTTGTTTGCCATGTTATCATTGATATCTACTCTACTCACTATACTCCCAATGGATTACTTACAATGCTATCACTAACTGTATTGCCTGGGTGACTAATTTATTTGAAATACAAACATGCATATGTGTTTGTAGTGGGGAGGTAGGGGTGGTTCGGCTTTGGGTTTTGTTTTGGGGTTTGGGGTTTTTGTTTGTTTTTGTTTTAGTGCTGTGCTGTTTGCATGTCATGCTTATCTTAGGTCTCAAGGCTTATTTTTTTGGCAGGAGAGTAAGTTGCCCACGCTTTTGGCTACAGATGTTTGTTTCATGTATTTCATCCTGGCCTGACCTGCTGATATTTTCCCAATTTAGGAAGCTAAACTGTCCTGTCTTTGTTAGCAAAAATTGGCTTTACAGCCAATTCTTTCTTCAAATCTTTATTCTCTCTTCAAATATTTGCTATTACATCATGAAATTTTTAGAACACGGCTGATTAATAGCTGCTGAAATGTGAACATTTTACAAAGTTCTAGAAATTGTTCTCAACATTAACTGCTTTGTAAAATAAGCCTAGTTTTAATTAATTTTAAAAAATAATACTTGCAATACCTCCATTATTTCAAAATATAATAAAGTTAGTGACATGCGGAAAACAGACTCCACAGTCAGTGAGATTGTAAAGTAGGTATGTTTATTCAGCGCTGGGCAGCACGGGGGGTAGTCCCACCAAAGTCGTACGCACCTGATTTGGCAGTTCACTGTAAATTTATACAGTCAAGTGTTACATATACATAGAGTTTCGCAATACGCCTATACATAGGCATTACCTATCCCCGCTTCCTATTAAAATTAGCTCTAGGAAGTCATTTCCATAGTCTCCACTCAACTGCGCTTGCGCAGTGCCTCCTTGTGGTGGTTGTGAAGATGAAGGCTGTATGTCTTCTTCACGGTGAACTCTTAACCTTCTGTCCCTGCGCAGACTCAGTTGTCCCTTGGCGTTTGTCCAAATCACAAGGTCGGTCTTGGCTGGTTCTTGGAGTTACTGCTGCTTCTCCTGTCCCAGCCAGCCTCAACAATGCAAGCGTTAAACATCACTTCTCATCCCCTTGGGCCATGTCTACCTCTATTGAAACTTCTTTAACTTCATTATAAGCTAGATAATTATTAAACAATTCTTTTCCACATTCATGTATCTACTATATCTGCTAAGGTTTCTTTGGTTCCCCGTCTCATTAGTGTCAGAACTACCTAAGAGCTGTCAAAGGGGCTTTTTTAATGTTTTTAGATTCCAAGTTTGCTTTATCAAAATGGGGCTTCTAGAAATACTAGCAATTCTTTGTTAAAAGCAGTCCCCTAGCTATAAATGTAAATGTTACTAAGTTGCTCTGATCTCTGAATGTTTGTCCCTATATTTCTTTTTCTACAATGAATTCGAAATACTGACCTGCCTCGGTATTACTGTGTTATTAACATGTAATTTTTAAATGAGTGAAATGTATTATTCAGAGCTATAGAAGAACTGAATCATGGCAGTTATTTCTGAAAAGTGTTTTGACTGAATCTCTACATTAAACTTATCTCTACTTAAAATGCAGCTTGAACTAATTGTGGTTTCTGTTGAAATTCAACTTCATGGTATGTCAGAATACCATGATGAACAGTAAAAGTTGCATGAACGTACCACTTTTTTTCATACTTTAGGATCTGGAGTACCTGTCAGAAGGCCTCGAAGGACGCTCTTCAAACCCAGTTGCAGTGCTTTTTGATACATTGCTTCATCCTGATGCTGACTTTGGGTATGACTACCCGCCAGTTTTGCACTGGAAGCTAGAACAACATAATTATATTCCCCATATAGTGCTTGGTAAAGGACCACCTGGTGGGGCTTGGCATGTGAGTAAAAATTTCATACCACTTCTAGGGTAACTTGATAATTTTGTGGTTTGGGGGTTCTTCTTACTGCCTAAGGCTGTTGTAGATAGTAATGGCAATTGCAGTTTCAATTGCTCAATTACCAAAGCCCAGATATGTTGTGGAGATGAGAAAGGAAGGAAAAAGTTGTCCTTCATCTGGGGATTTGTGAGCATGACTGTTGTCTTATGTGTTTTTTTATTGGTTTTAATTTAATGAATTATAATGAAGAGTATTTTCTATGAATTTTTCTCTTGTCTGCCTTGTTTCCAGGTGCTTTTATACAAAATCTTAAATCTTAATGTGTTCGTGTGCTGTTGGTTTCACTTTTTTTTCTTCTTGTTTTGTATTTTAAATAACTTCCAGTTATTATTTATTTAGTTCCCCTTTCACTTGTTTGCTCTTCACCTCTGCTTTATTAGATCATGTAGTTGCGCATTAAAATAGTATCTAACTGTAACACGAAAATAGTTCATCAACACTTCATGTAAGGCCCTGGTATTACGTTATGTTCTGGTATTTTATTGCTCTAAATGAGTACAAGGACAACTTCACTGTGTTTTACATAAATGTATCCGTTTGAAATGTATCTGGTCATGCATCTTGGGTTTTTCTCCATAGTCCATGGAAGGCTCTATGCTAACAATCAGTTTTGGAGACTGGATGGAATTGCCTGGCCTCACCTTTAAGGACTGGGCAGCTAGCAAACGCAGGTAAAGGTACTGCATAATGTATTTGGGAAACCTAGTTGCTATAAGAATCCAGATAACATTAGTTTATGAACTGGAAAACATTCAAACATCATTGTTCACAGGAGGGCTTCTTTTTTTGTTTATGAAATTGCCTGATGGCACTGGAAATTATTCTGCTGTGTGTACTCTGATGGAAAAAAATGAACAGTGCTTGGCCAGAGTAATTGCTTTGAGTGCACTGAAAGCATACATACTAGCAGTGGTGTGTTTTAGCAATGTTTCACAAAGAAGCACTGTTACTGTAAGCAGTTTCAATCAGAGTTGAAGGAAGATTGAGGGAGGAATTTAAAATCTACATAAGTATTGGAAGTTCCTCTTTCAACATGGATGCAGCTTAAATTGCTGTGCATACTAGATTTCTTGTAATTCAGGAAGTTGTATATTTCAGTATTTGCTTTTACAGGCAAAGCTGCAGCATCTGAAATGTTGCTACCTATGAACTTTAATTTTAAGAGCATAATTCAGTATTTCCCAATGTTATTTTCTAGTATTAAGTTTCTTGGAAAAAATTCAGAGACAAAAAATTACTGTCTTGTACAAGCTCACTGTTTTTATTTCAGTTATACAATTAGTTCACAAAGGTTTGTGTCAGCAGATGAACCTAGGAACACTCTACATAAGCTTTTTCTAAAATTTTAATTTTCCTGACTTTCTTCTAGCAAAATCAAAGGAAGTTGTTCTTGTACCACGTATGGCAAAAGAAGTAGAATTACTTGGGCATATGTCTTTAAGGGCAGACTTATTTCAGGACAACACTTATAGTGAAGAAACCGTACCTTTGTTCTTTAATCGCTTTCTTAGATAACCACAGTAATCTTGCCTCCTTATTAACTGGAATCCCATAAGCTGCTTATTATCTGAAGCTAACTTGTTTATATTACAGTTTTCAACAATACTAAAACCAGAAATGCTGACCTGTTATACTCCAATTAAACATACTTAAAAGTATTGACGATAATGAAAACTTCTAGTCATGTAAAATAGTTTCCTAAGTTTCATTCTAACAGGTGTCACACTGTCGCATTATCCTCTTCAATAAATATCTCATCAGGCTTTTCATAGTAACCTGAACATTTAAAGGTACATACGGTATTTCTTGTTAATCTATAAGAATGAGTAGCCCGATTTCTTGTAAATATGCTTTTAAGCGTAATTCAGTGGCAATCCTGATGTTCACTACTGTTTCTTTTGCCTTCTTCCTAGAGCTTATTTCTAAAGAAGCAGCAAAATTCATGCACCTGTTCAAAATAATTACATTTTCAGCTTATTTTTTATAAATGAGAATGCAATAAACATGGCAAAAGCATAAATGTAATACCAGGATTGCAGTGCAAAAATGGGTTTTATTGGACACTTGGACATCATCATCCTGTTATGTAGTTGCATTACAGTTCTGTCATACTTGCTTTGTTCATTCCTGTGATATGGAACTACTTAATTTGGTACTTACTGAACTTATCTTTACCCAAGGTCTTTTGCAAGGTATAATGAAGAATACTTGACTCAAGTAATGTATCAAACCTAGAGTTTCAAAATTAGTACTTAACAATTACTGCGATCCTTAATTACTTACATCCTAAGTAAGTGTATTCTCACTGAGTACAAGGTTAGCCAATATTGTATTGCTGACAGTCGTGATGCTAAACTGGCTTTGTAAAACACTTCCATACAGACCTACCGTGATACTGTAGAGTTTTGTTACGCTTAGCTTGTTAATCACCATAGCACTTTACATTGTAAAGATTTGTAACTATTAAAAAAAAGTTGGCTTGTCTGGTATATCAGGAATCAAGAGAACAAATAAAACAAATTGAATGCGTTTAAAGATATGGCACTCGGGTGTCAGTTACACTGAGCAGATTGAATCCTCTTAAATTTGACTGTCATGTGGTATGTCACATATGATATTCAAATTACCGATAAGGTCTAAATATTAACTGGAACCATTCAATTTTGTTTCAGAAATATAAAGAGTGATCGAGTAATACCAGAGGAAATAGCTTGTTATTATAAACACTATGTTAAAGTCATGGGCCTCCAAAAGAATTTCAGAGACAACGTTTACATAACATCAGTATCCAGGCTTTACCGAGGAAAGGATGATGAAGACAGAAATCAACTAAATGAAAATATTTCAACACGGCATTTGGAAATGGAAGATGGACAGAAATCACTGATTAAGAGAAACTGGGAGGTCAGGGGTTATCAGCGAGCAACAGATGGTTCTCATGTGCCCTTCTGCCTCTTTGCTGAGAATGTGGCTCTTGCCACAGGAACCTTTGATTCTCCTGGCCGACTACAAGTTGAAGGAGAAGACTTTCCTTTTGTGCTTCATTCCATGTCTGACTTCGGAGCTGCTATCAGCAAAGGAAAGTTACGTGGGAAGACAGACCCTGTGTTAATTGTGGGTGCTGGACTTACAGCAGCCGATGCAGTACTGTGTGCCTACAACAACAACATCCCAGTAATCCATGTGTTTCGTAGAAGAGTTACCGATACAAGTCTAATTTTCAAACAGTTACCTAAAAAGCTTTACCCTGAATACCATAAGGTCTATCATATGATGTGTACTCAGTCCCATACTGTGGACTCTAATCTACATTCTGCTTACACTAGTTTCCCTGAACACAATGTACTTTCCTTCAAGCCTGAAATGAAATGTGTTCTTCAGAGTGCCTCTGGACTGAAGAAAATTTTGAAGTTTTCTGTAGCCTTAGTTCTGATAGGTTCTCACCCAAATCTTTTCTTTCTAAAGGACCAAGGGCATGGCATAGGGCATCACTCTAATCAGCCCATCACATGCAAGGGGAATCCTATAGAGATTGATCCATACACTTATGAATGCACTAAAGAAGCTAACCTCTTTGCTTTAGGTCCTCTGGTGGGAGACAACTTTGTAAGGTTTTTAAAAGGAGGTGCACTGGGCATTGCACGATGCTTGGCAATAAGACAAAAGAAGAAACATGAATTGATTGAAAGTGGGGATGGAGGAGGTGATGGCGTACCATAAATGAGATATTAGAAACTTTCACATACAGAATTACAGACATAGTCTAACAGAATACTCACTGACAGCGAAAGTTGATAGCAGTCACATTTCTGTATACAAGTAACCTGCGCTTGTATTGCTTGGTAAAGGTTGCTGATACTACAATACTTCACCTTTTCAAAATACAAAAAATTGATCTGCTATTACAGCTGATCTCTACTCAGCTGGAATTACTTCCAGATAAACAGAAAATGAGACTAACTTACATTGACCTGCCTGTCATCTCTTGCTCAGCTAAAGGAGCAGACTTCTCTGGGAAAAGCAATGCCTACCAGAGCGGCTTTACATTTTAGTGTCAAATGTGACAAAATAGTCTTACCATGAAATTAAAAATAACTTCTAAAAGCAGAAATCACTTTACTTAGTATGAAGTGATTCTTGGTCCCAAAGCAAATTTGGAGCCTTCTGCTTGAAACAAGGATTTTATTTATTTGCCATAGTAATACAAATACTTGGAATGAGCACTTAATAAAATGGTTTTCACTATAAGAACGATTTCTGTAAGGAAGGAGTATTCCTCAACAGTTATAAATTATCCTATTTGATAATTGGAATAAAAGAATAAGCATTCACATTTAATCTTTAACGCATGTTTTGACACAATCCATTAATGTTTTTTCACACTCTGCCTAGAGTCGGGTGAGTGCAGAAAGACTAACATGAGATGTTCCCCTACAGTGATATGTACATTTCTGAGAATACTCATTAACGTAAACAATAAAGTACTGATGTAAGTGCTCTTATTACAGTGTCAATATAATGAATATCTAGTGTACTACTGAAAAATTAAGTACATGAGAAAACGTAAGGTTTTTTTGCTTCCTAGCTCAGGAAGACTGAGTGGGATCACTTGACTGATGAAGGTGGGTGATAGATATTCTCATCTCCCATTTGACCAAGTATTGGGTTATTTCTCTTTTTTGCTAGAGCAGCACGTAACACTAAAACTATTTTAGCCTGCAGTTTTTGAAACTTGAAAAAGGGTTATATCTCACAGCCAGCTAAAAAATAAACAAGCCAAACCCAAAACAAACATGCCGTAGTTTTATAAATCTTAAAGCTTGTTACGAAAGACAAAGACTTAACTTGTACCTACCTCTGAATTGAAGTTTCACTTTTCTGCTCCATAATGTAAGACCTAGATTTCATTTGCTGTGTTTTAGAGTAGTTTACCTAGACACACTCATGGGTTATTAACCATAGTGAGGTAAGCAACAGCTAGTTAGAAAACTTAAGTTATCTTCCAGAACTCTCAGTAGACAAAAGTGCTTGGTTTTAACTGATTTATTACCAAACATTTTAATTCAGGTCCAATGTGATGGAATCAATGTTATTTAATTTTTTCTTTGGGGCTTTTTTGTGTTGAAGAACGTCATGTTAGTTTAAGGTACTGTATTTGCATTTGCATGATTAAGATCTCCGTATTAGAACTTAAATAGATTTTAAAAAGGAAATTAGGCTTAGACTTTGTGAAACTGCTAGTGCTTGCTGGTTTCCCACCTGTCTAACTTTCCTAAGTTGTAGATACCTGTATGCAATAAATGCCTGTTTTCTGTGCCTACTGAATTACGGGGTTCTGTGGCTACTGCAGGCCTTTATGCATCTGAGTAAGTTACTCAGACTTTGGACATAAAAGTTGAAAAGGTAAAGTGTGCAAGGATTAAAATGACTGTATTTTCAATGGAATTCCAAAGTAATTTATGAAATGATGCTACTACTAATAATAAATTTTTGTTTAGAGCCAACTTAATAGCATAAACAAATGAAGCAACATTTATATTAACTTCTGCATTGCCTACATGGTTGGATTTAACCATGCATTGTCAATACTAGTTAAGATACTTTTTTATACTGATATTTGAGCTGGTTTTAATTATGCTAAATTCTAGTCTTATTTTCTTCATAATTGAATTGAGATTCTATAATTTGCCACCTTTGGCAGAAACTGTGTATATATAAATCTATCCTAAACCTGTGATACCTAATAATTTTAACGGAGAATCAGTGTTATAAGTGCTAAATACTTGATTATAGAATTTTATTGCAGTTAATATATTGGAAATACATCTGTGCTCTGATTAAATTACTTCAGTTTTGTGTCAATATAAATGTCCGAATACAACATACCGTGGCATGTTACTGATTTTTCATTTGTCATGTGAAACATTTAAAATGCCAAGAAAACAAAGGAAGCAATTTACTTAAACAGTTATTTTGCAAAAAGGGGGAAAAAGCTTCAAACAGCGAAATCTCTAGGCTCAGCTGCTGCAGCTACTTACAAGCTGTGTGTGTTGTAGTTGACAAATTTGTAGCAGAGATTTTTGTCCTGTTATTACACAGGTATCTTTACTGCAGTATTACAGCACCTTGAGGTTCAACTGTTTCTGTTTTGGGGGTTTTTTTGTGTTTTGGTTTTGTTTTTAATCAATCTTGCCAGTATTTTTGAGATTAAAAAATCACATGTGAGACCCCTTAGTTGGGTAGAGAAATTTTCCTAGTGGTCATGTTTATTAAGCCAGTGTAAAACCACTTTTTTTCAACCAAGTCTTTACTAAAAAATCATCCTGTTTCTTCTAGGAATTGCTAGGTTTAAAGTTGTAGCTGGACTTCCTCACTTTTGAGTTTCTGGGTTTGAGAGAAATTTCTGTTTCTCTCCTCTTTGGTATTTTGAGAGAATAAGAGATGTAAAAATTCAAGCTTTGCCTTAGGGATAGTTTTACCTAAAGCATTGTATCATATTTACTGCATTTATTGTGGATTAGATGTTGGCACTGAATAGTTGTCTTTTGGGGAGATACTTTGTTTCTCAGATTTAAAAAAAACCCAACATTTGAATTTCCTGTATGTTATAATAGTTCCCAGAAGGGAGACTGTTTGCTTCTTTCAGTGAGAAAGATAAGCTTTTAAACATTACAGATTTAAAAAGGATGCTTACTACTTAAGCTTTATTACTAAAATACAGACAGGAATAATGTAATTTTTAGCTAAAGGAATTTAATTTGGATTTACAGAATTTGTAAAGGTATGTTAATGCATACTGTGTATTTTCTCATAGGCTAGTGGGAAAATGTCTCTTACATTTGGGTTTAATTCTTAATGCTGAATGTGTCTCCTAGCTAAATTATTGCGAAGATTATTTTAAGTAGTATCTAGCGTTGAACTGGGACTAAGAATTGTCATAGTAGCTTTCCCTAACAATCTGACTCCTATGTGATTATTTAACAATAGGTGCTTGTTAATGAAGGTACCTGATGGGGCAGTAGGAAGCAGCACAGCCTTTCTTTTGGTTTCCAGTAGATGACTGATATCTGCTTAAAACATTTTCCACAAAAGAGTAAGGCTAAGTTTTACCCTAGTGAGTAAACACAGAAATCCTTTCTGCAGGTAATCCAGAGAGAGTGGTGACGATAACATTGGATCTCTCTCTCTCTGCCCCCCCCCGACCCCCCAATTGCATTGCCTTGGGCTAGCAGCCTGGGCTTGCCAGTCAATGCATGGGAAGAGTACAGCTACACATTGAGTAAGGGACACCGAAGTGCGTCCCACAGCTGTAGGTCCCTAGTCCACAGCATGTAGGGAATTGTTGGGGTATACTGTATTTTCCTTTTGGCCTCGTGAGTGTAGGCACCTTTTTTTTTTAATGATTAATTTCATAGAGTGATGGTTGCATAATGAAAAATACTAATTTTGTAGAAGGAGGTGGCTGTAGTTTCTTTCTCTCACAGCTCAAGAACTGTGAAAAGAAGGCGAGAGCCAGAAAGCCAGAGTGCTTATTCAAAGCTGGAGGAAATAATAAATTAAGACTCAAACTTTGAGGCAGGCCTGACCTGCATATCCAGTTGAAAGGAAGAAAAGGCCATTTTTAGGCCAACTACACGAGAGAGAAAGAAAGGGTGTAAAATTTGCAAACCATGAGTCCTCACTAATAACAAGCGATGACCGGTGAGGAACGATGGAAGGAAAGCAGCAAAGAATCTGAGCAATATGAACTGCAAACCTATGGGTGCTGAAGTGAATCCATGCAATGCTGATAGGCTGGTGGTGTCCCATCCTCCTGTGTCAGATCTGCACACCACAACTTTAGAGCTCTGTCCTGGAGCTGTTAATCTAACATGTTGCCATATATTTTTAATTGGTTATTAACTGAAGTTACACTGAAGTGCAACACATATCTATGAACTAGAAGCAACTAGGGCTGGATCAGTAAGGTGGTGGCCAAAAGATGAGACTTGGCTCCTCTGGTACCATGTTTTCTACTTCTGAGAAAGCAAGCAGCTATTTTCATGTAATAGTGGAATCTATGCTTAACAGTGCTATCATCCAAACATTTCTAAACAGCAAGAGGTAGCAGACATATGCCTTAAAGGCAGCGGATTATTCGATTTCATTATCATCCATATAGTAATGACTTAATTTTGAAGAAGTTATGGAACAAAAAAATGCTAAAAGGTTTACACGGTTACATTTTAATTTAGATAATATTTTAGAACCTAACAATAACAATATTCTGTCATCATTCTGGATTATTTTTTAAGGTGAGAGCAGGAGGGGAGCACAGTAACTCAATTGGACGCAAAAGCTTTTTGGAGATTTACTTTCCCCTTTTCCCCTTGCCCAACCTGAAAGAAAAGTCATGCTTTGTTTGAAATAATCATAATACCTGATTCTATTTAGCAAAAACAATGGAAACTAAAACATTCTTTCACAGAGAAAGGAAAGCTTTGGTGACATAAAGGACACAAATTTGAAGCAAGGATATTGAATTATAAACAGCTCTTTTTCTGAAAAAGACCGTATTTGGGGGAATATGGTACACTTATGGTGTTTCAGTTTAGCTAATTTTTGAAGCTTGAATTACACAAGGAATTGTGAGGTCAAGGATGAATTTGGTGTAAGGAACAAGGATTATGGGGAAAGAAAGCATTTATAGTATAATTTATTAATTATAGTGAAGCTAAGCACTAGTTTAAAGATCGCTTTGTCTTTGCAGACACCAGAACATTTCAGCTCAAGCAAATGCTGAACTTGAGCTCACATTACACCTGTCTGCATGCTAGGTGATTTTCTAACAACAAACATTTTCTACTTATAGGGTATATTAAGCCAACTCTTAAAACCTAGTACTCATCAAAACCAGGAAAAAAGCTATACTTCATATTTGTAGCTCTCCTATCCTTTTGAAATGACTTGTTCTGGAGACTAAGTTAATCTAATTTGCACTTTCCACCTCCATCTCTTCATCCTGAGATCACTGACTGTGTGTCAGCGTACACTGGATGTTTCAGTAAACTAAAATTTAGGTTCCTGTTCCTGGACACCCTCTGTAGACTTATATACCAGCATAAAGAAAATGAACAACTAGGTTTGTTATGTATTCACAAAATATTATGGAATCCTGGCATTTTTAGGTTCTTTTTTAACTAGGTTTATGAAGAAAAAATAGTTGTCCACCAATACAAAGCTAGAGACAAGGCCATCAAAGAGATTTGATACAGTACCGGGGGATACTCTGAGGAGAAAGAAATGGTTCATTTTTCAACCGTTTGGATTCGAGGACCAGCTTCTATGTGAACACAGTTATTGCTGTTCAAGAACTGATCCTGCTACCTTACATCTACCTGGCACAATTTGGAAAGTCAGTACTGTGATCGTGCTCATTTCTCTGTTAGGCCTAGTATGCTCATTGCGGAATTCCAGTTCTAAATGAGATAAAGGCTTATAGTCATCTACCTATATGTTTGTTCATGCATGATCCAACCAGACTTGGAGATATATGTAAATGTCATTTCTGTGTCATGCCTCAGCTTTCTGCTTTCTGGAGTATGCCTGGGTCGTACCCTTTTTTTAGATGAGCAATGTAAACATGTACAGAACATCTGCAGCTAGCTGAAATTTATTCTCCTTTAGAGCTGCAAGCAACTTGTGAGCAAAACCTCAGCTTTGATTAGATGATAAACTACCTGAGGTTTGCATGCTAAGCTTGTTTTATCTTCATGTGTGAAAACTGATGACGGGCTGAAGGTTAAAGGAGTAATATTAAAATAGTTTCAAGTAGTAGCCAATTATTCTGGTTTGGAGAAATGGGGAACTCTTCAAGCCAATGAAAAAAAACTGGGGAGGAAGAGGCATTCAGAGAGCTGTAGTGTTCAGAAAGAGGGAAAAGGTGTTGGTTTGCATGGATCTGGTGCTGTAGCCAGTGCTTGAGAGAGATTCTGATAGTCAAAGCTGGGGCAGAAGACTAAAGCAAGTGGCAGGGAAAGTCGCTAGTTAGGGAGATCTGTCTACAATTTTTATAAATATGTCACTGGAATGTGGTGATAGTGGTTATCAAAACACTGTAAGAGGAAGAGTGAGGAATAATGGTAAGGAAGACGGTTCAGGTTTTGCCACGCTTGGGTTAAGTTTTAAGGAGATACCAAAAACAATTAGAATTTGGAATCAAACACCAGCTGTGGCCAAATGTGACTGAAGCTAGATTCAAGAAATGGAACACAGCAAGAGAAGGGCTAGCTTTATGGGAAGGGAGAAAAGACAGGGTAAGAATAAGGACTGAGAAATCACCTGTACAAAATGGACTGGCAATAGGAGAGCTGGGAGGGGGTTAGAGGTAGGTCTATAGCAGAGACTTCAGCTACTGTCTCAGTTACAAACTGATGTTTGCTGGTAAATGTGTGGAATAAAGCCTCTCAGATGCATTAGGACTGGAGGTAATGAAGGGGGCTTAGCATTCTGCAGGAAGTCGATGGGGAGGTCAGTGGGCAGAGGAAACAAGCTGACTGCAAACACACTTTCAGCATAAAGGAACTGGTGCAACGACACAGGAGAGGCCAGCCCTGCTGCACCAGCTCCCCCATTCTAGGAGAAGACAGAGAGTAAGGGTAGGAGAAAGACAAGTAGACTCACAGATGTGAATGCACAGAAATAGAAAACAAACTTCAACAGTGGGAACATTTTGGTAGTCTTGCCAAAAAAGGCAGTGGCTTCCCCAGCTGATGAAGGAAAGATGGGAAGTCAGCTGAAACTGGTACAAGTTAAACTGAAAATTAAGCATGTTGTTCCTGCAGGGATACAGCACCCATCTGCTAGTTTATTGGTGCATGGATTAATTCAATCTGCTTTAAACTGTGTTCAGCTAAACTGCTGAATGCAAGA